AAGTCCTGAGGAGAAAAGGAAGAAGTCGGGGGCGGGGGGTGGGGGGGGGCCGCTGGAGGGGTGCGGGGAGAGGACAAAAAAACCTTTCTGGTTATTATGTCTGGAGTTAGGCTCGTCTCCTTAAAAGGGATGGGCAGGTGGGAGTAAAGCAGGGTAGTGAGGGTCACTTAAGGACTCATACTAGATGAATTAGGCTTAAATCTCAGCACAGAGGTTTGGGGTTTGACTTTAGTCATCGGCTACATAAATATGGCAGCAAAATACCTTCTGCTTTGGAAAGTTTTAGTAAGAGATTAACTGGGTGATTTGTTTTTTAAGAAACAATGACAGATCGTATTTTAGATTTCACATTTTATCAGGTGCTCAAATGTGTCCCTGACTCTAGAGATACTGGGCATCAAGGTGTTGTCATCTAGTAGGATCATTCTGTACATACTATTCTGCAACTTGTTTTTATGTTTATTAGAGCTCTCTATTAATAAGTACGGATCCACTTTAATAGTCATAAACCATTGTATTAAACTGCCCTCAGTGAATACACACTGCTACCTTCTGATGGCCGTTCAGGCTATTTCTTAGTGCCTATGTGTTTGCTTTTAGTATTAGAAAGTGGCAAGGAACAGCCTGTACACATAGCCTTGCAAATATATGTGAGTTTATAAAATAAATATACAAAAGTAAAACAAAAGAAAAAATAGATGCTGTGATCTGTCCAGATCCCCTTTGGCTCCCTAATGCAGAGGAAAGAGCATCCTTACTTCTCCCCATTCCTTCTCGAGTTACTCTTCCTCCAGGTCTAGGACTCAGCTGCCTGGAACAGAAACTGCTGGGTGGGTGGACACGCACCAGCAGGTCAGACTGAGCTGATAGGCCCTGAACTCACCGTGGCTCTCAGGTGTGGGATGAGGGTGCCCCAAACAAAGAATATGAAAGAAAGAAGGAGCAAAGGACAGAAAGTGTGTCTCCCCTGCATGGGTAACAGAAGCAAGGGGCCAGCAGAACCTCACAGAACCTCAGAAATCAGTTCCTTTTTCCAAATACGGGTAGTTTGTAATTCAGTTTTGCTTCCTTCACCAGCACTGTGGAGATGGAGGATGTGCAAGTGACTCAGGACGAATTTGCTTTTGGGAAGTTGATTCTGTGCGGCACTTCCCATCTTCCTGTGGCCCCTGGCCCCAGATCTGAGTCTGTGCTCCCTTCTTTCCTTCCTTACTCCCTGACAGACACATACACTGTCCTAGGGACTTGCTTATCTCCTCTGCAGAAACCAGGACAGTCACCCCAGCACAGCACTGGGTGTCTGACAGAAAAAGGGAAGTTCCCCTCACTCCCTCCTCCCCAGCCACAGTACCTCTCTGCCAGGTGCCGTCCAATGGCTCATTAATCATGTCAGTAGCTGCATTTTCTGGGCCTCTCCCAAGGAAGACAGGTGACATTAGCCAGTGAATGTTCACGTGAATTCTGTCTCTCTCCATTTCTGTGCATGTAACTGGATTGGGGTTAGCACCCTCCTCCCCTGCTAGCTCTCCACGCCCCAGCTCTCCAGATGCATGTCCATGTCCTTTGAGCAATGATTTGCTACAGAAAACTATCAACTGAGAACTGTTTCCTAGGATGCTGTTTCTAAGGGAACAGGAGAAAGATGTGGTCCCCACCCCAGCAGAATTCCCTCGCCATTCTGAGCCCAGACCCGAGGCTGAAAGCCCGACATTCGGTACAATGAACACCTGCTTTTAGAGGGGAACAAGCAATGCTGGAGTTTCTGCTTCTGGGGACACCCATCACAATCCTTTCTTCTTCATCTTGTGATAGTTGGCTGACATACACGGGGTGGGGGGTCCTCAGCTCAGGGGCCAGCAGTCTGTGACAGTCACAAAAGAGGCTGCACCCCACTCTGATTTGTCCAAAGCATCCCAGCGCCATGAGGAAAGCCAAGCCTGAGCTCACAGAGCTCTGTGATGAGGGCAAGGTATTTACATCGCTGACTTTCAGTTTTTCTATACAGCTCATTTTCCTTTCCTTTTTGGTATTTTTTTATTAAGAATAATATGTTTTTAAAAATGTATTTATTTTATTGTTGCTCAGTTATAGTTGTCCCCATTTCCCCCCATTGCGCCCCCCTGCCCTGTCCAAACCCTGCTCCCAAAGAAAATCCTCACCCTATTGTCCTTGTCCATGGGCCCTTTGTACATGCTTTCCTTCTTTCCCCATATCCCCCCTCCTCCTCTCCGGTCACTGTCAGTTTGTTCTTTATTTCCATGTCTCTGGTAAGAATATGTTTTTATATACAATACACCTACACATTTTTCCTCACCAACCGTACCAGTTCTTTGAAACCTAGATTCAATGCCAATGCCTTTTCTAACCTAGGCTGAAAAGTCTCTCCCTTTTTAAACCCCACATATTTATCTGGGCCTTTGTAAGGGCACACTGCTGACTCTCTTTTCTGAGAACTAATTACCTGAAACATTACCTCCAGGGCCAGGGAGAGAGGGCACTCTGTGCCCTCCACACAGTTAGTAACCACTAAGTATTAGTTAAATAAATGTATAAGTGAATATATTTGTTTTAAAGTATTTTCTTACCTGGGAAAATTGCATGAATAATTTAAAATGCTATTGTCAATCAATAAAATGCAAAGTTTTATATTATGTTTTCATCAAAAGTTCTCAAAGTGTCCCATATTTTTTCTATAGGAAGGCAGATGAAGAGATGGAAAAAATAAAGAGTTGCCTCCAAGTTGTATGAGACCTTTTAGTTTCTAGAGTATTCCAGGAGAATGTTCAGTTTCTAGAATATTCCTGAAATGTTCTAAGCCTTCTTCAAAAGCAAATACACTTCACTGTTGAGATGAGTCTTCAGACTTTGAACTGTTTCTGCTTCCCCTAGAAAGTTTTGTTTCTTTTGTAAAGTTCCATGTGAAATTTCAGGATAGAATCTGGGTCTCAGCATTCTGTAACACTGAGAGAGCTTGTATCACTGTCATGGCTGGGAGATGCTGGAACTGTGAGGCAGACTGTGAGGCAGCAGGAAAGTTAACAGGAGAGAAGAGTGTATGTGTATCCTTCATGCATCCATTCACACTTAAATATCTCAAGTATTGTGTTCTCTGTATTGTCCTTATACATTCTAAAAATTATTTGTAAAAAGCATGTTAAAGTGTATTTATAACAAATGTGGTACTAATAGTTCAATGAAGTGATTTAATGATATATAAATAAACTTAGTGCATGTGATTTTCATCTTATATAACAAGAGATTCCCAGTGAGCAATCAGGACGCTGAACCTTTTCTTACACAAACACAGCTGTTGTTTTGAGAAAATAATATGATCAACAGAGAAGTTTCAGAAAGAATGCTGTGTCAGTAAAAATGAATTTTGAGTTGGCCTACGAAAGGCACCAACACACACAAGCACACACACAGATATTTCCACGTTTATTTGCAACAATCAAAATAAAAAAGGACTGTGCTGGATCTTCTTCCTATCTACTGAGATCATAAATTCCAAATACTTATACTAAAAATATAGGCACTTTGAAAATGTAACGTTTGTTTTTGTTCTTGAGCTTGAGAGGATGCTGGAACAACTAAAGGGAAGTGTCCCAACACGAGGAGTCAACAATGCAGATTTATGGGCAGGAGCCTTCTCCACAGAGCCCAGTGATGGAGCCCTGATGTGACTGAGAGTGTGTGCTGGAAAGTGTAGAGGACCAAGGATGAGCCTTAGGGTAAGTCCACAGGTTGGAAGGGGGAAAGAAATTGAGCAAAGGAGACTAGAGAAAAAAACTTGTAAATCAAGAAGCATAGGGATCCGTCACTTTAAAAGAGGAAGAGACCAACATCGTCATGCAGTGAGGTGAAAGACATTGACAGCTGGAACTGAACCTCAGGAATGGTAACCTGACATCTGACATACAGTTCTATTAGCATGGTGAAGACAGAAGCTGAATTTGACGAGTTAAGCAACTGAGTAGGAGGTTAGAAAAGAAAAATGAGGGCTCAAATACCAACCACTACAGCAAGCCTGACATAGATATAAAAGAGGGAAGATGGAAGCCCTAGGCAAGGACAGTAGTTTCAGACCAGAGGAAACTTCTGGAGTGATACTTGAAATAAAGAGGGAAGAACCTGGTGGAGAATAAGAGCTTAGAGATTCTAGAATGAAAAGGAATAATTCAGGCAACTGCCCAGAGGAAGTGAGCATGGAGGGGTACTGGGAGAAAGGAAGACAGTTATACTTAAGAGGAAGGGGCCATGAGGGTAACAATATCATGTGATGATAGAGCCATCTTGATATCAGACAGTGAAAAGGAAGCTCTTTCTTTTTTCTCAGAAAAATAGGAGGCAACCTCCTATGGAAAATTGCGGGGGTGGGGTCAGGGGTGAGGTGATCTAGAAAGCATTGAGGCCAATGTACTTTGGGGAAAATAGAAATTGAAGCAAAGAAGAAAGCAAAACCCGGAGAGTTCGACTTCACACCCTTGAGATCAGGCATTGGCTTGTTTTTAACACAGCCTCCCAGTGCCATCTTACCCATGCTCTATCTGGTTGGGCTCTAATCAGGTGCTGTTCAATTCAGAACTTAACATAGCTCAGTCAGAATCTGAGCAAGACCTGAGGGCCACTCAGAACTGGAGGTTCTGGGGGTGGGATGCCAGAACCATAAAGTGGAGATGCCCCTTGAGGAGGAAAATGACTCAGAGCCAAATGGAAAAATTTCCAAGCAAGATGGTGGCCAGTGTGTACGAACAAGTGACCCAATAAGAAGGTGATCAAAACTTTGAGATACCGGAGTCCCAGAAAATATGGTATTGAGAGGTTTAAGACACTTCTCTACCTATTTAACAGTTTTATACAAAGGTCAGGAATGACTGCTGTACATTTGCTGTTCTACATGGTAATTTGTGTGTTTTACTATTATTCTTCCAGTGTCACTCACTACTCCATTTACATATATTTTTATGTAATTCATAAATTATTATAAATAAGCAGTACAGTTAGAGTCATCAAGTTTTATTCTCCAGAGCCTTAATTCTGTTTTCCTTCAAAACATGAACATGCCAATATGTTATTTTTAGATGTCATTCTCATATAAATTTTTAAGAAAAATGTCTCTTGAATGTGAACTATCTTGTACCCTACTTATTATTTTAAACTGACTAAAATAAATATTTAAAGTTACATTTCTAAGTGTTTGTTTAGCTGTGTTACTTTAGTTGCTGTTAGCTTTAGGTGGATCAAGTTCTTCTGTTCCAAGAGCTCTCCAAATTTAATGACAGCATTATTTGTATACATTCTATGTAGCTTGAAGAAATGAAAAGAATTCGTGCTTTGATTCAGTCTTATTCAGTTCAGGCTGCTACATCAAGAATGCCACAGACTGGGGGCTTAAACAATGAACATTCATTTCTCGCCATTCTGGAGGCTGAAGGTTCAAGACACTGGCAGATTTGGTGTCTGGTGAGATTCCATCCCCTGGTTCATAGATGTCATCTTTTACCTGCATTATCACCTGGTGAGAGGGGTGAAGCAGCTCTCTGGGGTCTCTTTTATTAGGACACTAACCCCATTCATGGGGCTCCACCCTCATGACCTCATCACCACCACCAATGCCCCACCTCCCAATGTCATCACACTGGGGGAGTTAGGCTTTCGCATATGAATTTTGGGAGACAAAAACATTCTGTCCACAGCATTCAGTTTAGACAAGAGATAAATTTAAAGAAATTAATCATGTTCCAAATCCACCTGTGAGGGTCCATGATTCCATTAAAGACTTAATGTTATTCCTGATCGAAACAAAGAGGTGTTCTTCCTTGTTCCCAGTGCCTGCCTCACAACTGCCCAGCTGTGACACTGTGTCAGGATGGCTGATCCTCCCAAATACCTACTCCCTTGAGACTGAAGTAGTAAATCATGGAAAAGTCAAATGGAAGATGATAAACCACCCAGCATGGCTGGGTAGAGAACATTCAGTCCATTTATTTGGAGAATGCAAAACTTTAAATCAAGATGACCCATTAGAAGGCTTTCTTTTTAGATGTGGGAGGGGGTGGGAGGCCAGAGATGAAGACTTTTAAGATCTTAATCAGTTGTTATGACTCTTTCATATTAGTTGTGTTGACAACATGTGATTTATCTCCTCTAACTGCAACATATTTCTCAATCTCATTCAACTTCTCATTTAGTTACCCTCTGTCAATTTATAAATGCTCAAGGAAAATAAATGATTGCCCAGATGGTGCAAATGTGTCGAAGCAAACAAAAGAAGTTCTGGAAATTCAGCCTGGTCTCCTTGTGAGTCTTTTACCTGACATGGGCAAAATCACCCAATGGTACTCTGCCTCAGTTTCCCTACCAGAGGAGAAGAGAGTTCCTCCTTCATCTTGCATTGGCTTCAAAATAGCTTGATCTTCACAACACATGGCCAACAGAAAATATTACATTTTTCAATCAAATTAAAAGGCCCTAACTATAACATGGGTGTGGAATTTTGGGCTCACATATATCACAGTCTCCAGGTGAGAAGACAAAATTTAATGGTAAATACCTTTAGCAATAAAAACAGATGTACAACTGAAGGAGGAAAAAGAAAAGTGGATTTGTAAAAGTCTCAAGTAAAAACTTTAAAATAAGAGCTCAACCTTGATACTTAAAAAATGTTTTTGTCTAAGTAGGAGAGGAAGCGATGGGTAGACCACTGGAATATTCTTCACTGCTCTTAGAAAAGCAGGAAGAAGTGGGAATGTCTTTCAGTAGCCTCCTCTCTGCAGCTCTGAGGCCTACACTTGGAACACAGGTCACTGATCCCACTGTTAACACAGTGGGCTCACCTCAGGCTCAGGGACATCTACCCAGCCAGGACTGCAATTGTATGATGGGCCTGGCCACTCACTGGTTGGCCCTGGCTCATGCTCCTCTTCTTCCTCTGGGCTCTGAAATATGGAAGCATCTGTCAGTCTGGGCAGGTGTCTTCACATGCTGGCATGAAAACAGGCAGCTAGTTTGAGATGGTGGGAGTTAAAAATAACACAGCTGGCAGGCCATGGTCTAGTGGGTTCACGCAGAGGAGAGAGACTGAGAGAGGACTGAAAAGTCCCCAGCTACTAACTTAATCCTCTGGTCCAACAGGACCATGTGGAGGTCGTTTTGCTGTTCAAATGGTTCCCATGGGAAGGCAAGTATGACAAACAATTTTTGTAGCTCTGATTTCCCTCCAAGTACTAAGCATGCTTTCATTTTTGTGAAAGCCTGCTTTGGAGTCAGTCCTGATGGGGAAAAACCTCCTGTGAAGCCAGCACAAAGGCCTTTATTTCATTCAGTCTCACATCAAAATATTCTATGTCTCTGGCCCGAATCTTTCTCTGCTGTTTGACACAAGTGCCCCCTGTGTCCATCTGTGACCTGACTGTTCTCCTCACTCAATGAGGATCAGACTTTCAGAGCCGCAGTGGTCCTGAGAAGACCAAACTGAAAAGTGAGAACTGGTGAGTAGAGCACAAAGTGAGGCTCTGATGCCACCAGCACCCTCATGTCCTGTGATTATATGAACATGCTGCAAAGAGGGTGCCCACAATGAGAAGGCTGACAGTCGGTGACTCCTGGAGCTCCCCTCCCCAATTTTAACCTATTCCTTATGGGATTAGCTATGTCCACACTCTGGAACCAGAGCCCTTGACTCATGCTGATTCCTTGCTTTGCTTATATGAGGTGTGGAAAGGCTTCTTAGACTCTGTAAGCAGGGGTACTTCCTGCTGAGAACATGCAGGTTGACTCCTGTATGCCAGCTGTCAGACTTTCCCTGTGCTGTGTCTACCTCCCAGTCCAGTACTGGGAGAGCCTAATTTATCACCTGGTGCATGATGATGAAGGCTAAAGAGGGCCTAGTAAAAGCTTGTCCATTCAGCTGGCACCAAGACAGGCCAGTAAAAACATCCATGTGGAGTTGTCCTTTTTATTATAAGCATGTGGCTTACTGGAATAAATAGGAGAATATTCATTGGCAAAGTAAAGTGTTTTACAAAACCCATTAGAAAGACATGGGTAAGCTGGGATGTAGATTTTCTAATTTTTAATTAGTTTTTTTTATAAAAATGAAAACTAAATTTCAAGGGCAAGATATCACAGCAGAAAAAAATCTTCTCTAGGAAGAGACTTAATTGTTTATAATGATCAAATCTACAGGCTATCACATGACTCATGGTCTGGGCTACACCGAAGGATCCCCTGAAGCAGAAGCAGGCCACACATCTGGAGAATGCAGCAATATGAAGAGAAAGGATTCCTAAGCATTTATAAGGTGAAAAGCAATGTGCCCAAACTTGGCTTTTTCCACAGAGAAAACAAACTTTGCAGCAACCTTCCTTTGTCAGAGTTCCTTTATGATGGGCTGTGAGATGGACAAGCCAGTTGGTACGAGACATAGACTTCTTGCTTTTAATTATGCCCTTTCCCCCCTTGGTGCAACCATCTTTCTCAATAGTACATAAGGAGACCTTGGCAGGAGGAGGAAGCAGGGGAAACATTTCACTTGTGCTTCCTGACCCTACTCTTTGCTCAAGATGATGTCCAACCTACAGACAACCAGGGACAGACCAAAGGTCACAGCTTACTACCAAGAGACCAGGCACAGGGACCACACCGCAATTTCCCTGAAGGCCATTTCCCTATCAGGCACTGTGACATTAAGGGTGCTGGTGTCAGAGTCCCCTGGATGTTCCCAGGCTGAATGAAGTCTCTGAGTCAAAAGGATGGGCTGCCAGGTAATCCTTGTACTCTCCATCGAGCAGCTGGGCAGCATTCCTGGCAAACCAGCAGTCTACCTGCTCCTCCCCATTGTAGATTTTCCTCTGTTTCCAGACCACCGGGACCTGGTGTCCTTTCACCTTCAAAACAGTCCCAGACGCCTCGCCTGTCTTTGGGAGTGGAGGACCAGTAGTGTTCTTGCTGGGCCCATCAGGCTCCCCTGTGAGTCTGGCATCTTGGTTCAGGAACTGACCTGAACAGATAAAAAAAGAATCAGGTCTAAATCAAGAGCTGACCACACCATGCAGAAAAAAAAACGAATTTCAATTTAGGCCACTGGTGATGAGCAAATGCATACATGGTACCCAGAGGAAGGGGGAATTCATGATGTGACCGCATTCCTAGTTGCACTCTGTCAGAAGGCACTCACACCTTCTCCAGTGTAAGTGATGGAACACGTGTCTGGGGCGTATGGAGAAGAGATACCTGAGGTTTTACAGGTAGCGGCCTCCGCATCTGGAAGCTGTCCACTTGCTAACACTGGATGGAATGCTGCCTAACCAGCCCACAGAAATAACTGTAGTCTCTTACTGAGCTGGGAGGACAAGAAAGGGGGCAGGTGAATAGGGAAGAGTCAGGCCTTCCCCTCTTTCCAGTCCATGCTACAAAGTTTGTGGATTGTATTGGGCTGAGGGTGTGGAGGCAGCCAGTTCAGTTTGTCCCTGATACACATCATCATAATTCTCCAGGTCAAGTGAGGGCATCACTGAGGCCAAGGACACTGGTGTGCATCTGTCAGAAGGAGTGCATGCTTGGCCATTAGGAACTACAGAAATGCATCCAGCTGAAGGGCCAGGAAATCCTGCTTTCTAAATCAAGTCCTGGTGGCTCTGGCTCTTTACTTGCAGACAAGAGGCCCACATGAAACTGCATGCTGAGGAAAGCCATGCCAAGCAGATCGCCTGCTGTTCATGCAATGTGGGTGACTCCTCAGAAGAGACACCCATGTCATACCACGTGCTAGGCTGTGGACTGCCCTTTCTTTGTATTTTCTTGCTGAGAATAAGGATCCAGAGGGTTAGTCCTAACTTCTTTCCCTGCTTTCCCAGAAAGCCAGTGAGAATTAGTTTATAAAGTGCAATCCCATCCCAGAAAGTCATGAAGAGGCAAGATATACAATTATTCTGACATGCATAAAGACCACCTTCCCACTGAATTTCTCAATCAAGCTAAAGTGATTGGCAACACCAGCTTCACTCCAGGACTCCAGGAGCTGAGCATTCTCCTCTCACCCTGGGAAGAGTGGCTGCTTACCTAACAGTCCGTGGCAGCTGCTGGAAAGGCCTTTGCTACTGGAGATGTAGAAACCTAGGTGGTCTCGCTGGTAGGGGGCTGGTTTTTTGTAGAGGTGAATGAGGATGACAAAAGCAATGGTGTCCTGGATGGTGACGGTGACATTGGCATTGGCAAACACTGACACCTCCAGCCCCCGACTCCCCACTACCATGCTCTGGTTGCAGGGGAGGACCAGCCTGTCTTCACTGTCCAAGATGACTCTGTGTGGTGTGATCTCAAGGTATGATCTGTTGGGCTTATTGACGAGGATGGTGATGGTGCGAAAGTAAGTGCGTTGTTTCTTGTGGCCGCTGGGAGGAGCGGGGGCCCCGATTAACGCTCCATTCACTGTCACACCTCCAAGATAGAGGGGAAGAGAGCAGTGGTTAGAAACACTATCCCCACTTTCACGCTAAAGACATCTAATCAGAATTTCCTTCCTCCCCTGGTTTTATCTTTATATCTCTTGCCCCATGAACTTTGACTCAGGAGTAGAGGCCACTTACTGCCTATTGAGTGAGTGAAGAAATGAGTAAATGCATGAAGTTACAAGGAAATTTCTTCCCCATGTTCAACCAATATCTTGGGGGAGGGGAAGGATGATGTAGATTTGGGTCAAGATATCACAGAAAGAGTTTACGTGTTTGTGTTCACTCCAGTATTTCCTTTCATTCTGGTTGCAGGGACAAAGAAACATTTCTTATCTGCCAGTTGCCACTGCTGCTGATTTGGAGACTCCATGATGCCACTGAGCAGTGTGGCATAATGCAAAAGTTGGAATCACACTTAGTCCAAAAGCTCAAGTTCTTTTACTTTCCAGGTGTGCATCTCTGGACAAGTCACTTTAAAACTCTGAGCCTCAATGTCTTCATTTGTAAAAAGGGGGTATGAAACCTAACAAGACGGTGGTGAGGATTACGGTAGCTGGCACGTGGGCAAGCTATCAATGGCCAGCAAATAGAACTCTTTTCTTTTCTCCTTCACTCTTGCGAGCACAACTGCAACTCTTCTAGACTTGAGCAAGGCCTGGGAGCCAGACTCCTGGCAATCCATGCTGTCCAAACAGATGGCAATTCTACACCAGATGTTTGGGACTGAATTAGTTTATGCGCATTAAGTGTGTTTGCTCTCAGCCAAAGAGGCAGTTTGCATTAACAAAAGATTGTTATGTCATCAACTCTTGTTTTCTCTGCTTTGGGGATAATCTTCCCATACATCTTGACTAGAAACTCCTTGGACACTCCAGGGGAAAACTCATTTCTCTGGGGAAAGGAAAAACCCCAGCATGAGCAGAGGTCAGGCAGTTCCGCCTCAAGGCTCCAAGCATCTTCCACTGAGCTTCTCATCATGGATGCCACACTGAACACAGAAATGACAGAACAGCTCTGAGGGCAGTGGACACCTCTAGGGAAGGATGCAGGTAGGTCCGTATCTCACTCTGGAGCCCTCTGAGTTACAAAGAAGCCACAATTTTGCTCTAAGGCTAGCCAGCCCTGCAAGAAAGCAAGGTAGGTAAGGAGCCCACAGTCAAACATTACATAACAACATCATCCGTGTGATCTTGCTGTGGGGCCCTCTGTCACCTAGCCTTCTAAGAAGCTCGTTTTCTCAGAACTGAGGAATGCCAGAGTGTCCACTGCAAAACTTGTCCTCACAAAGTCAGACTGTGTGGCTATCCACATGGCCATCCCTGAGGTACTGGCACCTGAATATAACCAGAGAAGCTTCTTATACACCAATCTCTTTCATGCAGTCCCTCTACAGACCAAAGGGGATCAGAGGCCTTCTTACATCTGTGTCTTCTGTACAAAGCTGAGTAATTAACATTGGGCTTAACACCTTAATCATCGAGGAACTGAGATAAATGAGTTTAGCACATCCCACCATCACAGTTTTTGATTGGAAAGGCATAATAACAATAATGTGCTGTGAATTTATATAGCACTGTGAGGCCAGCACAGCAAGTATCACTATCTCTGTTTTACAAGGGAGACAGCAGGAGCTCCCTAGCTGAGTACCCAGGGCCACAACATGAGTGCAGTCAGAGGGCAGGGTTTCCAGTGCACATCTTCCTGCCTCCAAGGTCAGCACACAGTCTATTTGCTTTAGTTATTCATCAACGATCCTCATCAAGCATCTGTGATGTGCCTCTCATATACCTGGACACCTGTCTTAGGGACAGAGGGGATATGGTGTCTACCTTGCTCTTGCCCAAAACCACTACAGAGGTCAGAACTTACCAGAGTCCATGTGATCGGAGACCAGCCTTAGGATGTCCCCAGGCTGCCCATCAATGTTGAAGCAGACAGTGAGCTTGTTCGAGGGGAAATCCACAACAAAATGGGGGTCTCCATCCGCTGCCAGAGCAGGAAGAAACAGGAGAGAAACAGAAAGAAAAGACATCATTGAGTGCCATGTGTAAGCACTTTTTTATTTTTTCTCATGTATTATTGATTTGATTCTGTCAATGATCTTGAATCTCTAAATGAGGAAGATGACTGGGAAGTGGATGACTCACCACAGTTACCTAATTAGTAGATGGTGAAGTTTGAACTTGGGTCCCCTAAATTCAAATATAATGCTCCCTTTTGTCACACCTCAGCCAAACACAGACAACTAAGCCTTGAGAGGTAAGAGGGAAACAGAAAGGAGAGTTATTGCCAGATACCCCCACTACGATTAAGCCCACTTGCTTCAACTTCCCATATGATGCCAATCATTTCCTTTCTCCTTTGACTACCCAAGTGAAGAGATGTGGGTGAGAACGCTTTGTCTCCTATGACCAGAGAGCCATGGCACTAGGGACATTCACAGCCCGATGCACACAACTCTGGTAATGCACACATTACAGGAGTAATGACCAAACCCAGTGGAGGGCTGGTGGCCAGTGAAGACACAGAGTCAATAGGAATGGAGCTATGTGACAGTTCCCTGAGAGCTTCTTGGGTTCACACCACATCATTTCTCCTCAAATCATCCAAGTCCCTTTACAAGGGTGTTGCACGATTTGCTTGTGCCAAACAATAGAGCAGTGGTCTGAAAGTCTGACTCCCTGCAGCATTCCAGAAGAAAGCGTTCTTGCATTAAAGCATGTGTGAGTTCAAAGGAATCACATTCTCTCCGTTGGAGACTGTGCGTTTCCTGTCTGCTCAGCTAACCTTGGGGATGTCCCTGATTTTATGAACTTGTGTGTCTGGCACATGGACAGCAAGGCTTACAAAGTGATGTGTACATTTTAAGAATCCAACCCAGCCTTTGTGTTGTTATTCCATCTGGATTTTCATTATAATCCCAGAAAGTTGGCCAAAGGAAATTTTATGGTATTTTTATCTATTCTTCCCTCTAAACCAAGGATTAAAGAAATAATACAATAACTTTTTTAAAATCTGAATGTCACAGATATTTGTACCACCAGAAACAGGAAGCACACATACTTCAGATCTCTACAACAAATGTCTTTTAAACTCTGCAATGAGGAGAATGTGAGTGTCACCCATCTTTCGATCAAGGCTATTGCCAGGCTCCGCAGGACTGGCATCCACTGTGTGGATGCAATGGTTTAGCAATGATCCTGGTTCTCAGAACTGTCACACGCTGCTGGCGCAGGCTGAGAAACCATGGGTCCTGGCGTCACATTTCTAGTATGAGCTGGTATTTTAAGTGGTTTCAGGGAATTCCTGGTTGTCCACTTTCTAAACCTATCAACTCCCAAATCACATATACTGTTTTCTTTACCTGATGTTTTGGAGACTTTAATTCTTGGGTTGTATGGCTTCTCAAGAGCAGGCCCTGAGAAAGAGAAGGACAAGAACACTCACTGTTACCCATGAAAGAGGATGAAGTGAGGGGCACAGAGAGGAGAGGGTTGAGGTGAGTAAAATACAGCTTTCAGATACATTTTTGGCAACTTAAAAACATCATCTGTTTTAAAGAGGGAGCTTGGCCTCACAACATACAAGCAAAGGTATAACATGTGGAGGCTTAATTATTTTATTCTTTTATAAATTAGATAATATTCTTCTCGTCTGTAATTTCTGTGCATGTAATAGAGGAAAATATTCCATCATAGTTAAGGTCTAGTTATGGGAGTAGGGGAAAAAGGAAACTTGTTTAATGGGTTCAGAGTTTCAGATTTACAAGAAGAATAAGTTCTGAAGATCTGTTTCACATCAATACACTTAACACTATTGAACTGTACACTTAAAAATGGTTAAGATGGTAAATTTATGATCCATGTTTTTGTACCATAATTAAAAAAAAACAGAAAAATGCAGAAATATAAAAATAAATTAGAATCCAGCGACTATTGCTATGTGTGTAAACACAATTCATAAAGCAGCAGGCAAAATAAATAATTCATTAAAGAATAACCTAAAAGTAAATTAATTTCTATAAATAAAATAAAACTAATATCTTATTTCAAATTGTTTGTATTAACAAGATCATCTCCTCTTCGCTGCTTTTGGTCCCTCACAGAAACTAAAGATCAAACTGTCTCCAAGTGTCCACATGCCCATGTCTTTTCCACGCTGGTCCCCCACCAGTGGGACGCAGGCCAAATTGGGCAGACCATGGAGGGGAAGTCCCTTCTAATCCACACAGCTGATGTGAGAAGCTGTGGTGAGTGGCAGCTGTCACGGACACTCAGAAAAACTAAAACTTAAATTTTAAAAATTATCAGAGCTTTAAGCAAAGAAAGATTGTCTTGGGTACTACTACCTAATGCTTCAGGAAAATTTATTCCCAACAACAGTTTCGAGCTATCAGTTGGTTATTTCTTTATATGGCTCTTTCATAGCATCACACAGCTTGCTTTTCATCAGAACTCGGACTGCACTAGTTGTGCCAGGACAAGCTTCGCTCCATCTAAAAAGGCAATGCGTCAGCTTTAACCTCTCCATCAGGGTCTGAACTTTCATTAATTTCTAGTTCTACATTCCTCAAGGGAAAGGGAATCTCACATTTGTAGAACACTCATATGTGCCAAAGACTTTACACATTTAATCCTTGCAATGGCCCTTCAGGGAAATTATTATCACCTACGTTTTATAGGTGAGGGAATAGAAGCTCAGAGGTGCAGAACCCTGCCCCGCGCCACACAGTTGGTCATGAGGGTAGGTGAGCTGAACCTCAGCTCTGTCTGCACCCTAGACTCATGCTCTCTCACCCATCCCAGGTGCTTCTCAGAGTTCAAAGTTCAAGGAATAAATGAGGCAGCATTTGTAGGTCCTGAGATAACATCAGTTCCCCTACTTAGGAGATGTGAACTTGACAGAAATTTAATGAAAATGTTACACATTTTAAAAAATGCCCATTTTCCCAAACAGCTATTACTGAGAATATAATCCTCTGCTTTGGTTGCACTACCTTCCTTTTCCATTTCCTGTTCTCATCATTACTCATTTCCCTATCAAAATGACAGTGAGCCTGATCGTGACAGCTGCTCTTTAGATTCTGAGTAATAAGTATGTAAAGGGTGTGTTCTCTCAAGAATCCAGAAATTAGTCCTCACCTATGTTCCCAGGAAAATAAAATCCAGCATATATATAAAATGACATAACTTCGAAGTACTTAAAAATGTAGAAAGGCAGTTTAAAATGAACATTTGCATATATATAACTGTTTATTCCTCTTAGTGTCTCCAGTAATGCTTGGTGAAGGTTAGGCACTCAGTATTGATGACTGACTGATGGACTGACCTCACCAGACAACATTTCTGAGACAACGGCCACCTTCTCTAATCCCTGCACAGAGATCCGCCATTTATAACCAATCAAACAGAACGATTGAACACACTTCCTGAAAACTGGGAGCTGCATGTGGAGGTGATTACTTACAAAAATTATAATAAACAAAGTAAAAACAGACTACTACTGAGGTGACCTTGGCCTGAGAATGAGGCAGAAAGGACAAGCTAGGCTCCTGCATCCGGCCATCCCGGGAGTTGGGTTACCTGTCTGCAGGTTGGAGCCTTGCAGGCTCTGCGTCACTGTTTCAGGCCCCATTGCAGCAGACATGCCATAGCTCTCCTCTAGCTTCTTTGTCTGCAGTGCAGGTTTCTTCAACTTCATGGAGGTGAATGGGGTGAGGAAGCGAGAGTTCACAGCCAGATCCTGGGCCTTCTGCCTCAGTTGCTCCTTCTCCCGCTTGTCGTCACTCTGTAGCCAGGAGTTCAGCAGCTCCTTCATGGTCAGGTAGCTCCAGAGACGCTTGAGATGGTTGGGGTCCTCCTCACCATCACCCTTGGGCCTGGTGCTTCCTGTGACATCATTCTCCACCTTTGGAGGCTCCAAGGGCACGTCTGTCTTCAGTACAACAAATTTCTTACTGTTGCTGGCTGTGACCTCCACATGCAACCGATCCATCTTCCTGTCCACCAGCTTCCCAGCAATGATGATCTCTGAGCCATTGAAGTAGTTGGGGAAGAGGGTTCTGGTAGCCTGCTCCACGAGGCTGGGTGGGTAATCAACGCGGATGTCAGAGAGCAGAGGGGTCCTGATCTCATCGTAGAAGCTGGAGTGGAGAGGGGGAGAGAGAGAGAGAATGAGAGTGAGTATGTGTCAGGGCCCAGCTCTGACTGCAGGCAGGACAGGTCCTAAAGGAAATTGTGGGCTGTCAGAGGGGAGAACTTGAACTTAGAAGCAATGGAGTCCAACATTCTGCCCAGTAGAACATTGTTCATAGGAGGTTATGTAGCAGTAGCTTGAACACCACTGGTGACAGAGAACTCACTGTCTCATAAGGCTTCCTTCTCTCTTTCAACTGCTCTGAGGAGGAAGAGGAACCTCCATGTAGTAGATTACAATCTTCCCCTGCAGTTTCCACTCACCGGTCTCACATTTGCTTCTGGAGCAGCCCAGCATGAATTAGCCTAATCTAGCTTCACCATGACAGCCGTCTGAGGGTTTGACAAATACTGCTCCTGGGGTCATCTTTTATTCAGTCTAATCAACCTCCAGTTTCATTAACTATTCTTCAGGTGATGTAATTGCAAGGTTCTCTAACCACTCTGGGTAACTTTCCTCTGTACATGCCTGAGTTTCTCAAAGGGCCTTTTAAAACATTTTTCTTAGAACCAAATGTGTATTGCCAATGTGCTTTAACTAGCACATTACTTGAGAAATCTGACCTTGATTTTGCCACTATGCTTTTCAGCAATGCAGCATTTGCTTGCATTAACTTTTCTTCTAGTTATGTCACCTGGTTGCTAGTTTCTGAGTAAAGGGACAATTAAAATCCCTTTCCAAAGATCTAGGGAGCATGGGCTGTGGAGTTAGACTTCTATCTCAGCTACTTCCTTGCTGTATGTCTTGGGACATATAACTTAACCTCTCTGAATTTCAGCTTCTTCCACTGTAAAATTGGAACATTAACAATACTTACTTCAGAAAACTACTAGCTGCTTCACCAGACCCTGCCTCCCCTTCTTCCCTACTAATTTAGTTTTAACTTGGTGACGCCCATCCAGCTACATACTACATTTCTCAGCCTCTATTGTGGTCCCATATGGCCATGTTCTCCCCAGTGGAGTATGAGTGGAAGTGAAATGTGTGCCTTCTGCAGTGCTTGCTTGAAACAAAATGGCTTGCTCTGGCTCTCTTTTCCTTCCCCACTTTTAGTGCTGGAACACTGAAGGGATTGTGCCCATTTCAACCTTGCAGTTAAAGACAATGTCTAAGGGGCACAGAGCAGTGAAATGGAAGAAACCTGAAATCTCTGAATGACCCACCTCATGGAGCAGAACTGAGCCTGCCAGACCGTTATAGGATGGTCATCTGCACGGCAGTTAGCCTTTATCCTAGCACACCTGCTCCTAGGGTTTCTGTGGGACTCACAGGAGGTAATGCTTATAAAAATGTCTGTCGTATCATAAGTTCTCAATAAATGTTGGATAGTGACAGTATTTTTAGTAGGACAGTATAGTCAGTTTGTTTCAATGTACTTGCTTTTGCTTATGAAACACATATTCAATTAATGCATTAAGTTAAATTGAATGTCATTTTGAATAATTTTGAAAATGTGGGAAGCTAATCTGTTAGCTTTAACAGATTAATCTGTTAAATGAGTCCATCCTAAATGACTCATCCTAGGGATGAGTCCATCCCTAGGACTCATCTCTATTGTCCACCTTCAAGACCTCCAATTAGATTTCTCTTTGGTGAATGTTCTTTAATTATGGCTATTAAACACCCATGGATGTACCTAAAGCCCACTTTTCCTTTTAAATATCTACACCAAGTGCCACAAAGTGGATTGAAGCAGTAACACTAAACTGCTTCAACTGGGAGTCAGCAGGCTATTGAATCAACAGCAAAGCTATACCCCGTGTTTGGCATCGTGATATCAAAGGGAAGGCACTGAACTCAGTTAGAATACCTAAGTTCTAGTATTTTCTCCACCTCAAATATATATATATAATCAGTGACTAGTGTCAATTGGCCATTTCACTTCCAAAGAAAAATATGATCATTTTAATAATCAATACTACTCAATAGTTACTTCTCCTAGCTACCGCACAGGGCAGAATTAGAGTGACTATGCCAGGAAGTGCTTTGAACTGTCAAGAAGACAATTATAACCAGAAGAGCTCATTGAACACTTAACATATGATAACAATTCTGCCAATGCTTTACACAGGTTTTCTCATTAAATTCTGTCAATTGACCATAAATCTCACTTTATAATGAGGGAACTTAAATTGTTGCCTAAAGTCACAAAGCAGGACCTGAATTTACAGCCAGGCCTGCCTGATGGATTTCAAAACCCAACATGATATCTCCCAGTGTAATGAGTTATAGTCATTTCCAGTAGACTCAAGGTTAAGGTGCAGCAAACCATCCTCATTTCTGAGTCTCTCATAAAACCCAACCCCACCCTCTTCTGAGAACCTCCCATTATTGTTCCAAGGAGACAAACGGACCCAATGAGCTGTGAGCCTGCATCCTCCTCCTCGTGGACACGCCGTGTGAGGCCACAGTTCTCCAGTGACAGTTTCTCCAGCAGCTTGAAGTCCACGTCATTCCCAATGCCGATGGTGAAGATGCAGATTCGGCCCCGGGCGGCCTCCTTAGTGTTGTTGAGAATCTTGAGGGTATGGGTCTCCCCGACGGTGGGTTTCCCATCCGTCAGGAAGATGATGAGGGATACGCTGCGATCTTCGATGTCATTGTGGGCCACGTAGTTGTTGAGCAGTCTGATGGCCCTCTGCAGGGCCCCATTGATGTCTGTGCCTGTGGGACACCAAAACAGGGCAGCTCAAGCTTGTACTCACTTCCTTCCCCTGGCTGCACACTCACAGCTGTGGTTCACTTGAAATCATTCAAGGATTAGCAGGGGTGACACTGGAGAGGAAGGGAAGAAGCTCCCCCAAGCATGTGGGGTGATTATAGGTTACATGGCCTAACTAGAGACCTAGCAAGTGTTTGCTAAATACTTTAACTGTTTTAACTCATTTCATCCTAATAAAAACTCCATCATTATCCCCATTTTACAGATGAGAAAACTGAGGCCTAGAGAGATTAAATGACTTGTGGATGGTAGAGCTGGATTCAAATCCAGGTGATCTGGCTTCAGAATCAATGTTCCCACCCTGGCTGATGTGGCTCAGTGGATTGAGTACCAGCTTGCAAACCAATGGGTCACCAGTTTAATTCCCAGTCAGGGGACATGCTTGGGTTGTGGGCCAGGTCCCCAGTAGGGGGCACTCGAGAGGCAACCACACATTGATGTTTCTCTCCCTTTCTCCCTCCCCTCCCCTCTCTCTAAAAATATAGAAATAAAATCTTTTAAAAAAGAATTGATGCATCCAATCCTGATATTACATGTCTTTGGGAGGAACAGATTAATTTTCTGTCTACCTGCAGAGGTTGAGGCAATGAAGTGCCAAGAAAAAAAAATACAGGAAACCATAAGGTTTCTAAGGTTTGGATTCCAAGAGAACATAATGCACATCAGCTGTTTGCTAAGCTTTTATGTTCACCTTTGTATAACATCCTAATTATAACCAAGAGCATTAAAATAAATTCAATTAACAAATATTTGTTGGGCATACACTATATGCCAGGGGCTGTGCTAGGAGCTGGGGGATATTCAAAGATGAATAAGAGTTTCTCCTCTCGAGGACTTTACAACCTTGTCACTTCCTGCCATAGGTCGATGATCAATGGTACAATATCATAATGAATCCAATCTATTATTTCTCCCATCAACTAGTAAAACAGTTCCTAAACCTCACTGTTGTGGAGACCGGTAGGAAATCCCATTGTAAGTCCAAGTCTGGTCCAAGAAAGATGAAGTTCCAAATGAAACTTGTGTAGGAAATCAGAGCTTTGTCTTGGGCAGGAAATGATGAATATAAGAAAGATGAAAAATCCCAAATGGAAGAAGACCATTGGGTGTTTTGTATGTTTCCAGGTGACTACCCACCACAATAATCGAGATGACAACAAGAGATGGTGTCTCCATGAATGGCCTTTAAGAAAGTGGGGCGGGGTCAGGATCAGTGCCCGTAAACACTCCAGTACTGAGCACCTACCGTATGTACACTGCACCAGTGACAAAGTTGACAGCAAGAATGGGTGGGACCAAGGCCCTGAGTTGAAGGAACTTACATCTGTCCAGCTGGATAACACTAGTGGACTGCCTCTAGATACCCTAGTTATCTTAGACTTCTCTATGACCTGTCCCTCCTCTCCACTCTTACCTGGGCACCATACCCAAGCCAGGCATGCAGACACTCAGAGCCCACCACACCTTCCATCCACAGTGTCTCCAAGGCTCCCAGGGATTCCTGCTCTGCTCACTGTTTCAGCCCTGCCAAAGGGACTAAGGGTGCAGCTGGGCAGGTGCACCTGCTGCTTCCTAAGGTGCTAAGATTTGAGCACACAAAACTAACTCATCTATTTGGCTTTAATTCCACATCCTCAAACAATTTACAAAAACAACTTCATTACTCAGGATCTGTGAGATAAACCAGGAAAGGCTCCAAACACTATCAGGTATTCCCCCTCATAACTTACTTGACCATCTTAGTTTGGGGCCTGGAAGAGGAGAATTTACGGAATCGGTATTCAGAGAAACATGAGCTTCTGGGAAAGCTCTCAGCTGTTATCTCCTTTCCTGTGATAGTTTCAGTATTCAAATCCTTGTCTCTTGGCAGAAAATTTAGCTACTCACTTATTATCACGTCAAAGCTAACATGAAAAGAAGGACTCATATTTACCTCCAGTGGGTGACATGTGGTGAATGTAGACTTTGCCATCTCTGATATTGTTGGGAGTAACTGACACCAAATGGTCCTTCCACACTTTGATCCGGTTGGAAAATCCAATAATATTGAAATGATCCTGGGGTCGGAGGTCATGCAGGATTGTGAACAGGGCATCTTTGGTCTAGGCAAACACAAAACCAAAACCAGTCACATCAACTGCATTAGTCCACATGTCCCCTAGCTTAGAAACTGCACACCAGGAACAATGTCAGGGTTAAAATTAAATGCCTACTATGTGAAGGGTACTGGATAAATGTCCAAGTAATGATTATTTGCTTTTATATCTCTTTCCTTTACTGTATATTTTTAAAGATTTTATTTATTTATCTTTAGAGAGAGGGAAGGGAGGGAGAAAGAGAGGAAGAGAAATATCAATGTGCGAGAGATATATCGATTGGTTGCCTCTCACATGCCCCCAACTGGGGACGTGTCCTGGCTGGGAATTGAACCTGCGACCTTTCATTTCACAAGCTGGCACTTTTACCCAAACCACCGAGCCACTCCAGGCAGGGCTCTTTAACTATATGTTAAGCTCTTCATAGGCAGGCTCCACTCATCTTTGTAAACTGCCAGTACTCAAGAGGTACTAGAGAGGTTTAGTAAATGGATGAGTGAATGGACAGAATGAATTAGAAGATTAAAAGTACAAATAATAAATACCATAGTGATTTTTAAAAGTGAAAAAACTGGGCTGGAATGATGTTAGGAGACTTCACAGACAAGCAAGAGTTTCTCTGTGAAGCAGTTTGAGCACGGGGCTTAAAGGAACTGGATGTCTTGAAAGGTAGGGCGGGCATTCTGCAAAGATGCAAAGAAGATACGTGCGATGGGTCAAGCAAAGCAAAGAGGTGACATGGGTAAGCCTGCACGAGCTGAGTGGATAAGAGGCATGGAAAAAAGACACGGTTTGTGTAAAGAAAGAAAAGACCATGGGAAACTGAAAACAGAAAAATTCTAGGAATATGGACAAGAGTTTCTAAAATAACCAACCACATATTGAAAGAAAGCATTGTCTTCTCTAAACAGCAATATTATTAGACAGTTAGAAATTCATCATATGAAGTAAGGAACAGTCATTACACAATTGCCTTAACAGTGACATCTGGCATCTCTTACAGTGATTAAGAGCACAGACTTCAGAATGGGTGGTCTGGGTTTGACCCTGGATGTGTCACTTACTCTCTGTGTGGCCCTGTGGCCCTGGGTAGGAAGTTCTATCACTATCTTTTCTCACTGTGCCTAAGTTATCTCACCTGAAAAAGTAAGACAATAATAGTGCTGCTCATCAGGTTGTCACAAGGATTGAATCAGTAACATACGGAAAGTATTCATAACAGGGCCAGGCATATAGTAAGTTATATCCTTACTATATAACTTGCTCTTACTTGCCAGCAGGTGGTAGGTGGCAGAGTCAAAGAAACTGTAAAGTCTGAAACAGTGATTGCAGAATGAGGTATGCTAAGGAACTATATGGTTACCCCGATAACATTTTGTAGGTCTTTTTCTAGGTTCGATGACTATTAGCCTTTGCTTTGAAACCAGCTTCAGACAGTACTGCCCCTTCTACCTCCCTAAGTGAAATAACCACAACTTCTTTTCCCTTCTGAATGGTCCCTCTTCCTCTCCTTAGTCTTACTCTTCTATCTGCTCACTCCAACATCCCACTGTCCAACCCCTGAATTTCATGGGAACCTCAAAATCCACTCTAGAAAACTAACCTGGATGTATTTATTTTTAAATCTGTATATTGCATTTCAGTAAACTTACAGAATTTCTAGCCTGAGCAAACAGATGTTCATTTAACATTCCCCTTATGGATCTTTACTGAATGAATGAAGTTGTGCCTCAATTTCCCCATCTCTTTATTCCCAGATTGAGAAAGCAATGCATCATAACGATATCATTAGAAGCATAACAATGATGACATTGGCAGCTAACATTTTCTGGACATGGAATTATACCCCCAGATATTTTGCCAAGTGCCAGAGCTTTTCATAGGTTGAGGTGATGGGCCCATTTAATCTCACAACCCACCTAATGTAAAGTGACTATTAATATTCCCATTTTACAGCAAAGTGCCTGAGGAATGAAAGGGTTAAGCACCATGCCCCCTGGGAGCCTGGATGAAAACCAGGAAGTCAGACTCCAGGGCCAAGGCTTACACCAGCAGCAGTGGAATCCTAGCCCCAAAACTGCTGGCACTGAGCGTGTTCTGAGTTATAACCCTTATAATGTGCAGCTCATTTTGGGATTCCATCCAGGTCCCTGAATGTTGATGGGCTCTGTTTATTTCTTTGTTTCTTTCACTTGGTTTCTGGCAGCAACTAATGGATTAATTTCCTATAACATCCTTGCAGAAGGCATCCACCCGGAGATGAGAACAATGAACGTATTTCATTCAATTCATCGTCTCATGCTACAGAGGGCTGTCCCACCCTCCCAACTGCCCCGGTTCTTCCACGAGAGAGAATGGTGATGGCAGACCTTACTTTCATTCGGAGTCTAGGAATCCCCCTCTAGCCTCTGCTCTCTCCTCTGGGGCTGGGCCCTTCCTTCTAACCCATCACACTGGGTTGTTTGGAGGACACACTCAGTGGCAGCTGAATTTCCTGTCTTCTCCCAACCCTGACTCCACCTTCAGGAAATGTGTCTAAGGATCTTGTAAAAATAAGCAGAATCCACATCCAAAACTTGTCAGCCCGATTTGGAAGCCATTGAAAGGATCTGTGACGCTCTGCTCCTCTGGCTTCCGGGCACAACCCTGTATGCCCTCCACTCTGAACAGTGTTCCTTGCCCTTGCTGGAGCCTCCTTCTCAGACCGGCCTAGGGTGCCCATGGACTCAGCACACACACACACACACACACACACCCGCCACCGCACACTGCATACACCCCCTTAGCCAATTAGTGAATGACTGACATCCACACGTATCCCTAGAGCTCACCGCTCTCATGAGACCCAGACCCAGCTGCTGACCATTTGCCCCTGCAAGTCCCACAGGTGCTTGGATTTAGTACATTGAAGGTCAGAAGTTTTGCCTTTCTGTCCAAACCTTTTCTTCTCTAATCCTCCCTGACTGGAGAATGGCACCTCCAGCCAGGTCAGAAACCATGTCATCGTGTTGCACCTCCTTTTCGCCCCTCTCCCTGAGCCTCATGTCCTTAGGTCATCCGAGGCTGGCAGTTCCACCTCCCTTAGTAACCCCTTCTCTTCCTAAACATCCTGTGGCTGTAATCTGGGCTTGGGCCACCTCTGCTTTAGATTGGCAATCGATTGTTTTTCTTTATTTGTATGTTTTTCCTAATGCAAAAAAAATCATTTAAAAAAAAGATCAGAAGAAAAACATGTAAGACTTACAAAATCTCCCTCACCTAGAGATAGCCACTATTTTTTTTAATGTATTTATTGATTTGAGCTAGAGGAAGGGGTCAGGGACAGAGAGAGATTTGTTGTTCCACTTATTTATGCATTCATTGGCTGATTCTTGTATGTGCTCTGAATGGGTGTAGAACCCACAGCTTTCTGTATCAGGATGACACTCTAACCAACTGAGCTACCCGGCCAAGGTGAGACAACCACTATTAAAATGTTGTACCACGCACGTTTTCAGAAACTTTACTGTGTATGTAATCTAAGTAAAATGGGCTCACATATCATGCTATAAAGTTTTAATTTACTGTGTCATATATAGTTTTCATGCCCATACATAAATGTCTAATCATTTTAATGGTGGCACTATATTCTATCATATGCATACACTATAATATTTTTAAACATTTAAGCAGTACTTCTGTGGGACTCAGTATTCACACATCTTTGTGCTCACTGCTGTTTTCTTGGGATAAATTCCTTACATGGAGTTGGTGTGGCCAAGGCCCTGTACTTTCTAAAGAATTTAGCCTGTCCTCACATTGCTGCCAGAGTTGCATTTTCCACCCTCCTCAACATTCAGTTCTGGGCTTACCCATCATGTCCCAAGACAGCCCTTCTTGCCTCCTCACCCACACACTGCTGTGCTCTCAGGCACGGCACCCCGTTGTCTGCCTCCACAACACATATAGAGAGAATGCAATTACATATCTGTGCATTTGCTTCTCTATCCAACTCATCCCTGTGCTTATGAAGGCAGGGCCTTTTCCCATTTTGTTACTGTATGTCAATACCCCACAGTGCCAGGCCACATGACAGAGCTTGATGCAAGCTTCCTGAGTAAGTCATCTGTCAATTCAGACAGGGAGCTCCTCAAGGCAGCTGTCCCCTTGCCCTACCCCACCCTCCTGACATGGCATTTTACACACTGTGGGGTTTCGGTAGGCATCTGGTGAATGAGTAAATGAGAGAGAGGTAGACTTCTACTGAGTGAACACAAAGGAAGTTAGACGCACAGCCCCTGAGCTGGAGCACCTATAGCAGATGACACCGAGAACGATGATGTGCAGGAATCCTGGGGCTGACCGGTGGATGGTGTTCAAGTGAAAACAAACAAATCTGATCATTATAATAAACAGATGTGGGTGGAGTGCCCTAAATGTTGACGCTGATGCCATTTTCCAGGGAGCTGGCAACACTTTGTCCCTCACCCTTCCTTCAAGTTAGAGCCAGTGCATCCCCGGTGTGAGCGTCAGGCATCATTCCCAGTCGTGGGGTCTGGACCTCTGGAAAGTCTGAAGGCCTGCAGCTAGGACAAGGCAACACCAAGCAGTGGCTGTCCCTGAGACAACACAACTGGAAATCCGGCTCCAAGGCAGACACTTGGAAATATTCTAGCTGCTCCCTGTTTGAGCTTGGAACTGGCCAGGAACCCAGGGCATAGGCTGGAACAAGGGGAAACTTGTCAGAAGATTATTGTTTGTTTAGCTGCTGGCATCCTTAAGGATCCTCAAACAGTGCTCTAAAGACCTCAAGAAGGGTCGGCTTGGCTCCTTTGCTGCTATTTTTTTTCTGATTGTGATGGATATTCTGCTTTAGGAGCAGTTGTTCAAGCCTCTCCACCCTCCTCCCCTTAGCTCAGCAACTACAGGTTCCTTATGACCTTGTAAGGCCACAGCTGCAACTTAACCTCACTTGAACCAGGAAAGGCAGGCCAACAGGCTCGCAGTCGCTCCTTTTCCAGTTGCAT